ATGGCCAGGAGGACGGGTCACTACAGAGTCCCCCCTCTGGTTGTCTCCCTCTTGTTCCCCATTACCCTGGCTGATACCCTTCCTGACTGGGAAAAACAGCCCAGGGAAGTCAATCCCTTTGCCCTGGGGGCCATCACTGGTTCCATGACTCTCAACAATAATTAATATTAGATTTTAGTCCATTCATTCATTCATTCAATTTTATTTTTGTAAACAGAATTTGGAGATTGGATTTCCCACATGTAACTTGAAAATTCATGATGAAATTTATATTAGATGCTATATGCAATCATATAAAATAATCCCAGAGTCCCAGTTGTAATAAAACAAAATGTTTTACTCTTCCAATTTTCTCTTGCTTCTTAAACCTTCTGTCTTCCTGAGGGCCAGGTTTCTTTTCAAAATTACCTGCAAAAATGATGATGATGCCATCTTAGACACTCACTTCCTTTTGAGGGTCTATATTTTATGTTAGAAGATAAGCAACCAGTATCACAACCTGTGCAAAATGAGGGAATTCTGAGAATTAATGTAAAAAATACAAATGTTATAAGTCCACCCTCTGAATAAATCCATTTTGCAATGCCATTTGCCACAGGAGTTAATGGAGAAATTAACAGAGTTTCGAGATGGACTAAATGGAATAAAAGATGATGTTAGCTGCTGCCTTGTTACTCTCATGGCCCATGGAGGAAAAGGCTTTATCAACACAGTATTCGATGAAAGAGTCAACTTAACAGACATATTTGAAATGTTCAACAATGAAAACTGTCCAGCCCTTCAAGAGAAACCAAAACTCTTTGTAATCCAGGCTTGTAGAGGAGGTAAGTAGAAGGAAAAAGAACACATCATGAGTGACAGGGAATTCTTAGGCTTCACTGTAAGTATTTTCTCCTTCTCTCTAGGAAATTCTGACCCTGATTTTCATCCCAAAAGATTTTCCTTTCTCTGCTGCTTCTCATCATATCACAAGAAAAAATACTCATTAGCTGCCCCTTGACATCTATAAAGATATCAAATTATGTATATTTCCAGCCCCAAAGTGCCAGAATATTAAGAACTCACAGCTTAGAGTATCTTAGGTCCTTTAAAGTAAGTGGATTCAAGATCTTAGTATTTATAGGGGGAGCTAGGTGTCACAGTAGATAGAGCACTGGCCCTGGAGTCAGGAGGACCTGAGTTCAAATGTGGCCTCCGACACATCACACTCACTAGCCTTGTGACTACGGGCAAGTCACTTAACCCCAATTGCTTCACCAAAAAAAAAAAAAAAAGATCTTAGCATTTATAAATCCAAGGTTTTGTGCTTTCTCCACTGTGATATTCCCTCTTCCACCTTTTTATGGGTGTTCCCCTGCATCCCTCTCTTCCTCACTCACTGTGGGATAATTTCCTGTGATTTCTCAGGATCGAGTGAAATACAGTGGATGAGGTACTCTAATTGAAGGCAGAGGACCTGGGTTTGAATCCTCGTTCTGTCATTTAAAATGCTGCTAGGAATAACCAGCATTTTTATAGAGATGAGGCTTACCATGTGCTTTACATGTATTGTTCATGCTAACTCCCTCTGTGACTTTGGGCAAGTCATGTAACCTCTCTGGGGCTTGGTTTTCTTATTTGTAAAATGATGGATTGGGCTGGATTATCTCTAAGTTCCCTTTTAGCCATAAATCTATGATGCTATGATCCTACTAGCCTATAACATGATGAAATTGCTCGCCCGTGGCCTACCAATTCTGAGGAATGTTACTGTTGATAAGTATGCAGTTTTCTCCTTAAAATGGGATCTGGCTTGTCTAGCTTTTCTGGAGCTATTGGGGCCTATAATTGTGAACTACCCTCTCCAATGTATATGCACTTGAGAGAAATAGTTTATTTGGACCCCTACTCTATTCCAAACAGTTTAATCAATTTGATGTTATCTTATAGGGCTGGTGATCATAAGTTCTGTATCTGAGGCTGCAGGGCTGTGAGCTGCCTATTGTAAATTCACTTGCTTAATCACAGGAAGCCAATTAGAGGCCTTCTACCCTGTTTTTCCTTGTCATGGGGATCAAGCCCAGTGTGGTGGAGGTGACTCAATTACATGGAAAGTCCTCCAACGTGTTTTATTTATTTATTTATTTTTACCTCCAGACCACTCTCTTGTCCAATATGAGCAAGCGACCATCTTGTGAGCATCTAGTGAGTGGAGATATTCCTTGCTTCTTCCAACTTGTGACCCTACTGATATACCATTTTTTGCTTATTTTACTTTATGCGTCATATGTGAACCAATGCGATGCTGTATTTTGTTTAGCTGCTTTAAAATGTTCAGGTAATAAATCTGGTATCAAACGTTATAAATTTGTCAAGGCCCTGGAAGAAGCATCCACTTGATAAAAATGGACCATGGACCATTTAATAAAGTGCCATTGGCTCAAAGCTCTGCCTCTGACTCTTATTGTGGATTGGACAATTGTAATCTTCACACAGGGACAGGTGCTCATTCCTGACAGTTTCATTTGGCCTTAGTATCAGATTGTTTATTCCACTGTCTATTCACATCTTCTCTCACAAAAACAGAAAGAAGAGATAGTGGTGTTATTCAAGCTGATAATCTATCAACGAAACAGGATAGTTCAAAGAAAAAGCGACTTCCCACATCCAGTGATTACTATATCATCTATCCCACCCAAGAAGGTAAGGCAATGAATTGATATGCTGCTAAGGCATGTTAAGTGAAAGTGATCATGATTGTTCAAAATCCAGTTGTGCTTAATTACGTTTCATATTTGTCATAAAACTATTCTTGTTCATCACCATGTAAACATAGATCATCAAACAGTGAAATGACTAATTCCACACAACATCTTTCATAATGTACAACTGATTCAACACACTAAGATGTTGGCCTTCTGGTCAACCACATGTAAGTAGGCAGACTCTAAGCCCTTACTTAGATGAAAGCAAAATGGTATAATTATAAAATTGTCAGATGACACCAACCTGAGAGAGCTACTAAGTTGGATGTCAGAATCATAATCTAGAAAGATCTCAACAGGCTAGAATTTTAGTCAAAATTTAGTAAGATGTAACTTAACAGGGATAAATACAAAGTCTTAAATCAACTACATAATTAAAATATAAGGGAGATATGATTAGAGAACAATACGTTTGAAAAAATACCTAAGACTACATGCCAAACATAAATCAACATTGTATGTTATGGTAGAGAGAAAATGCATTAAGAGAATATGTTCAGCAATTGGCTGATGATCCCAATGTCCTCTGTCATGGTGAGACCACAGCTGGAATATTGTATTCAATATTCAGTACCTCAACAGGCCACTAGGTGGCGCCATAGTAAACAGATTGCAACCCTGTCAGGAGGACTCATCTTCTGAGTTCAAATCTGACCTCAGACACTTACTAAGTATGTGAACCTGGGCAAATCACTTAATCCTGTTTGCCTCTGTTTCCTCATCTGTAAAATGAATTGAAGGAAATGGCAAATCACTCCAGTATCTATGGCAATAAAACCCCAGTGGGGTCCAGACAGGACTAGAACAACTCAACAGCAACGACCTCATTTTAGGAAAGACATTGATAAACTGGAACAAATAGGAGTAGGGTGACTAGAATGGTGATGTGGTTTGGAGATTGTTAAGGGATGTTTAGTTTGGACAACAGAAGGTTGGGGGGCAGCTAGGTGCTGCAGTGGATAGAGCACTGGCCCTGGAGTCAGAAGGACCTGAGTTCAAATCCGGACTCAGAACAATCACTTGACACTTACTAGCTGTGTGACCTTGGGCAAGTGACTTAACCCCATTGCCTAGCAAAAAAACCAAAACAACAACAACAAAGAATAAATAAAAGAAGGTTAGGGGTCACATGGTAACTGTTGTCAAGCATTTGAAGGATTACCATATTTAAGAGTGATTCCATGTATTTTGGCTTGGCCCTTAAGGTCAGAAATAGGAAGAGGGGGTGAAAGCTGCAGAGGAGCAGGTATAGGTTTGCTGATGGGAAAACTTCCCAATCAAGCCCCACTAGGACCAACTGAATAGAGTAGAAAGTGCAGACAGCCATATTTGGGATTACTGTCAGTAAAGCTCACCAAAAAATTATTGCTGTGCAAAGTGGAATTGGCTACCTTGGTAGATAGTAGATTTTCCCTTACTTGAAGTCTTTAGGTGAAGGCTGACTGACCATATCCTTGAAAACGTATGAGACATTCTTCTAACTATGAGCAGGATGCTCTAAGGGACTGGCCAGTTACTTTACAGGGTCTCTTGGAGACTCTGAAAGTTGCAAGTTCTTGACTGAAGCATCACTGGGAAAACATAATCTAGGCTTCAGATAGTATCTGGTATCCTTTAGACTATTTTGCTGGACAGTGAGAAGCTTTTCCTAGTTCTTGGCCCACTTTAAATTAGTTACTGACCTCATCTGCCACGGATTCTTTATGGCCTTGGCATTGTGACGGCCTAGTTAGTGGACTGCTAGGGTTAAGGGCCCAAGAGATTTGGGAGGCAGCAAAAGTGCACATCCTGGGCAATTTAATGAAAATGTAATCATGTCCTCGTGTTTATAGAACAAAGAAGTATCTTGCTTAAGGAACGCTTTTTCTAGCTTCTAAAGTGTGTGTGTGTACTTTTAGAACCCTTTAGTCAAAACATAAACTTTTTTTTCTCATTTCTCCACTGGTAGATCACATCTCTTTACGCCACTCAATGAATGGTTCTGTGATGATTCAAGCGATAGATGAAGTCTTTCGGAAACATGGCAAGAAGTTGCATATTGTGGATTTTTTTACTCAAGTAAGTTATCAGTAAATGGATTCAAGATCCATGTTATGCTATTTTTCTTCCACTTGTTAACAAGCATTTATTTCATTTTATCAGGACATTCCTTGGAATTCTCTAAGTAGGATTTGTGTATGTGTGTGTGCATGTGGGCTGGGTGCCTACACTCTTACCTGAAGTCTGTCTCTGCCTGAGATGATGTCTTCTTTCTCTGAAATCTTTTCTCATGGTTGTTTTACTTACTTGGTAGATGTTAAACTTCTCTTAGGGCAGGATTGTGCTGCTATTGTTTTTTTTTAGTAAAGAAGGGGCTGAGATGTTCGTTCACTCCCCTCTTTCCCATCATTTTTAAGTTATTGTCCAGTAATGAGAGTGGATCAGCCTGGAAGTAGGAAGAACCACTCAGCCCCCATGTTCTTTGGGCTGAATAAAAGGAAATTAGTGTCACGTTTATTATAAATATCTTCTTCATCTTCATCACTGTAATAATACTTTCCATTGCTATTGTGCTCTACAGAAAAATTGTCCCCTCCCAGACAACTCCAGGAAACCCTCCCAGGCTTCAAATCAAGATGGTAGGTTGGTAGGACGACATGTCTAGCATGTGTCCTCTTCTGTCCACTCATGCTACAGGCAGACCATGGCAGGAGGCAGCAGTACCCCAAGTGGTGTCCCACTTTCTAGTCCATCTTCTACATAGTCACCACGGTAATCTTCCTGAAGCATCAATTTCACCATGTCATTCCCCTGCTCAAGAAATTACGATGGCTCACTATTGCTTTGTTTGACTTTTAAAATCCTTTACAATCTGGTTAGCTACATGCACACATGCACACACTCTGCATTTCAGCCAAACTGGCCTACTCTCTGGTTCTGCAGCCTCAGATCCTGTCTTTGTCCAGTGCCTGGATTTCACTCTCTCCTCACTTCCTCCTCTTGGAATCTCTAGCTCTTCTACTAGTTTAAGCTTTGGGTTACTTCCTATACGAAGGTTTTTGCCTAATCTACTGGGTTCTTAGCTGCCTTAATCTCTCCCCTCTGCCATTACTTTGTCATTATTTTGTCTATACTCTGTATATATTTATCAATGTGCATATTGTACATTGACTCGTTAAGGGCAGGCACTGTTTTTTTTTTGCTTTTTTTTTTTTAGTTTTTAGGCAATTGGGGTTAAGTGACTTGCCAAGGGTCACACAGCTAGTAAGTGACAAGTGTTCAGTATGAGGCTGGATTTGAACTCAGGTCTTCCTGACATCAGGGCCGGTGCTCTATCCACTGTGCCACCTAGCTGCCCCTAGGCACTGTTTCTTTTTGGTCTTTCTTTCCCCCTTGCCTAAAATGTTGCTTACAGCACACTGAATGCTTAATAAATACTTGTTTAGTAATCATGAAACATTCATTAAGCACCTCCCATATGCCAGACATCTAACTAAACTTTGGAGATACAAAAGGAGGCTAAAGCCAGCCCTGCCCTTCAGAAGCTCAGCTATCTAATTGTTGAATTAAATTTTGCTCACTCCTTTGTATAATTTCTGTTTCTTATCTTGTAGGTGAACAACAGAGTGGCGCACGCAGACTTTAACATGGGTAGGAATCCTGTCAAAGTAGTACTGGTCACAGAGTCCACTCTCACCAAAGCTGTGTATTTTTGACACCTGCAGGCAGAGGTGGAGGATTTTAATTACAGAACAACTTGTTCATGCATTAGCATTGTGCTATTCACTGCATAAAACACTGGCTCTTACATATATTGGTTGGAATCTGCTGTGGAGTTTTCTAGGACTGTACAAATCCTAGAAGGTAGATAGGAGTAAGAACAGATGTGAACTATAGACAGAGGCCTCGTCATAAGAGTTCTTTCTGTGAAAAGATGAATTTCTCTAATTTTTAAATGTATTTCATGTTTCTA